ATTGCATAAGCCTTATAGGTAAGGCTTGGGAGGGAGTGACTACCAGGACTTTGAACTCTGCTTGGAGAAAATTGTAGCCAGATTGTGTCCACAAGAGGGATTTTGAAGGGTTTGTGGCTGACCCTGATGAGCCTATGTCAGTTGTGAACTCTATTGTGGCATTGGGGAGTTCCATGGGGTTGGATGTGAGTTTGGAGGATGTGGAAGAGTTGGTGGAGGACCACACCGAAGAGCTAACCACTGAGGAGCTGCAAGAGCTTCAGCAGGAACAGCAACAGATTGCAGCTCAGAATCTTGCTGCAGAGGAGGAGGAAGAGAGATGGAAGAAGGTGCCTTCTTCAGAAATTAAGGAGATTTTTGAAATGTGGGGTAGGATGGAAAGATTTATGGAGAAACATCATCCTGAGAAGGATGTTGCAAGCCATATCAGCAACTTGTACAGTGACAGAGTCTTGGCCCATTTTAGGGAAGTTTTAAAGAGACGCCAGAAACAGAGCTCTCTGGACACTTTTTTTGTGAGACAGGACTCTAGTGACTCTCAAGCTGGTCCTAGTGGCATTAAGAAACAGAATAGAGAAGTAACCCCAGAAAAGGACTTGGTACCTAAGGTGTTGATGGAAGGGGATTCCCCTTCCAAACAGTAACTAATCCAATCTCTCTCCTCCTCCAGTCTTCCATACACTAAGAAGAATCACCAATAAAGATAAATGTTATGCTGTTAATGTTTCATTCATCATGTCCCATTGTATTGTTTATATACTACATCTATATTTTATGTAAAAAAATTTTTGGTTTTAACTTCTGGGTGTTAGGAACGGATTAATTGTATTTACATTATTTTTTGTGGGGAAAATTGATTCGAAAATCGTCTTTTTCGATAATCATCGCACTTCCAGGAACGGATTAACGACGATAAATGAGGTACTACTGTATTCCGTTTTATACTCCATTACTACCTATGTGAGTATCCTTTACCCAATCCACGTTGCCAAACCCATGGGACAATACAACCATCGGCTTCAGTACCAGAACCTCTACCATCCACTTCTGCCGACACCCAACAGCCATCCACCTCAGCCCAGTAGGGCCACACCATCCATATCCACTCTCTTCACAATCATCCACAAACACCATTACCCACAATTTAAGGTAAGAAATACTATTATTTCTATTGCACTTGTAGTCTTAAGCAGTAGTATATCACGACAATGCACTCTTATTTTGTAAGATCTGGAGGTCTAAAAAAAAGTTTGGCTTTTTGGGGGCTCCCAGGAATGTAACTCTGTTTTTCCTATAAGTTTTTCAGTTTGTCTAACACGGCATTTTCAGGAACGTAACTACCGTGTTAAACGACGGTCTATTGCATATGTATCAGGACTTGATACCTATCGTTCCATTGCTGTTACCATTGCAGTTTGCAAGGTTATGGAACGTCTGGTAAATAGACGTTTGATGTGGTATTTAGAGATACACAATAGCCTCTCCAATAGTCAACATGGCTTTTGTAAGGGCTGCTCTACTTACCCCATACTCTGCTTAGATACCCATTTGCAATGCCTTTATAGCAGCCTTTTGTGATCCTGAAAAGGCATATGACACTACTTGGAGGTATATCATCTTGACCCAAGCTCATTCCTTAGGACTCCAAGGCAATCTGCCATTTTTCCTTACAAACTTCTTATCTGAAACACTTTTCCGTGTTTGAGTTAATAATTTGCTTTCCCTGGACTTTATCCAAGCTGAAGGTGTCCCTCAGGGATGTGTCCTTAGCATAATGCTTTTTCTCCTTCCTTTAAATGATCTGGCATCTGTTCTCCCACCTAATATTGGTCATCACTATACTGATGACTTTGCTATAGCTTGTGCAGGCACTGACTGCCACATAGTAGCAGCTTTACTCTAGAATGCTGTCAACCGTGTTTCCCATTGGGCCACTACTCATGGGTTTAAATTTTCTAGCACTAAAACACCAAATTACTTTCACCAGACATTCAATCATCCCTGATACTCCACTGTATCTGCATGGCTCGCATATCCCTGAATGTGATACGGTCAGATTTCTTGGCCTACTGTTAGATCGCGGGTTGTCTTGGAAACCTCACATTACCTTCCTGAGAGCAACCTGCCATAGCCAGCTGAACCTTCTTAAAACCGTTGCTCATCTTTCATGGAGGTCAATCTTCAAACTCTCCTTCGACTGCATTCAGCCCTAATTTTATCGAAGGTAGATTATGGCTATAAGATGTATTATGCAGCCTCTCTTGCAATGCTTTCTAAACTCGATCCCATCCATCATCAGGGATTACGTTTGTCTAGGTGCTTTTTGCTCACCTGTCGAGAGCCTCTATGCAGAAGCAAATGTTCCATACTTGAATAATCATTGTGAGGCTCATTGCTTAAGGTATTTTGTTCCTTCTCATGGCCTTCACAATCCTTCTACAAACAGGATAGTAACAGATGTTAGCAAAAGTCCATCATTTGTTTGCCTCTTATTTACTATGTCCCTTTTCTCTTCGTTTTCAATCGCTCGTCTTCTCTTTAATTACATTTATATATTCATCTAGCTTCTAACTTTTCACTTTTCCCTTGGGAAGTTCCGACATTTTGTGTCTGTTCTTCTCCAATGCTGTGCATGAAAGCCTAAATCCCTACAGCTGCTTCTCTCATTCACGTGCCATTGCAGTGTACACTGTTACAAATCCTCTGATGGTGTTGGGTTTGCAGCAGTGTTTTCGGACAGTGTAGTGCGAGGTCATTTATTAGACACAGCTGGTATTTTTATAGCTGAATTGTATGCCATTCTCATTGCAATTTATCTGTATTGCATCTATGCCTACTTCAGTGCTTATCATCTCAGACTCCTTCAGTGCTTTGCAAGCTATTAAAAACTGGATTCACTTGATCCCCAAGTTCTTCATATACAACTTTGGTTGTACCATAATACTAACAAAAACAAAGAAATCATTTTCTGTTGAGTCCCTGGTTATGTTGATGTTCAGGGTAATGGGCAGGCAGTAAACGACTTCCCAGTTTCACATAGAGGTATTCCATTCCCTGACTATTTTGCTGTAGTTTCTACTCACCTTCACAACCGTTGGCAACAACATTGGTCTGATATGACTCATAACAAATTACAGTCTATCAAACCAAGTTTGGGTTTCTGTTCTTCTTGTCATCAATACCAAGGTTGAGAGACAACACACTTGTTTTTGCATTGAACACACTCATCTAACTTGTGGGTATCTCATGGAAAGGCGCCCTGCTTCACTTTGTGAGAATTGTCTGGTTCCAGTTTCAATTTCCTATCTTCTATTGGACTATTCTGTCTATCAACGAGCATGCAGAATTTTCCACCATCATCACCACCACTCTAGTGCCCTTACTTTATCTTCCCTCCTTGCTGATGGCCCCACTTTTGACACTCACTCTCTTCGACTTTTTGACAGCAACCGATTTATTACACAAACTCTGATAATCCTTCCTTTAGCACTCCTCACAGTCCCTCCTAACTTTACCTTTGTTGTCCTCTCCACCCTTGCTTATCCTTTGATCCTGCATCAATTCCTGCCCTGCAGCACTATGACCCTAGTATGCTGAGTGCTTCTTTTTGATGATGATAATAATAATAATAATAATAATAATAATAATAATAGGTCCTGTCAGATTACCATCTCTACCTGCCCTCCTCGCTGAAAGTCCTTTGACACTCCCCTATTGCACCAATTTTGATTATACAGTGGAACCTCAGTATACGACCAGCTCTCTACTCGAACGAAGCTCAGCACTTGACCAAACAAATGTGACCTGCCAGAACTTCACTGTAAACTATTTTGCATTTCTTCAGATTTTTGGGGATTTTTGTACTATTTGTGTAAACAAGTCACTATGGGGCCTATGAGGATTAGTGATAACAGCCAACCAAACAGAAAATTAGTTGCGAAGAACTTGTCCGATACTCAAATGGAGCAGCACTTGAACAGCCTTCTGGAATGAATTAAGATCGCATACCGAGGTTCCACTGTATTTTACCTTTAGCATTCTCCACTGCCCCCACTAACCCTACCTCTTGCACACCCCTACTTGACATTAGTCTCTGACCTCCATATATTTGTTCCTTTGGCATATTCTGCCCAGCAATGCATCACCTTTTTGGGTCTAGCACTTTGATTATACATATTATTGTCAGCATCATATAGCTTTATATCCAGTAATTATTATATTCATGGGGAAAGTAGTAAACCCATAAGGGTCATAGAACACTTTGGGAAATGGGAGGCATTCAGATTCAATCAAAAGGGAGCAGTTAAAATTCCTCAGATAAAGAGCCCCTCACTGGCATCAAGAAAAAACTATTGAGGGGTTGTGTCCAGTAGTATTCTCCTGAAGAAACAGCACTATATGACCCTTGTGGGTTTAGTGCCTTAGGTGGAGCAATGTTTTGAGTAAAAGAGCAAAAGAATAAAAGAAACTATGAAATTATCTATTCTTGGTCAATGCAGTAAATGGACCACAAAAAGAAATATCTACAATGTTATTTTCAGATAAGAGTACAGACAGACAAGAGGGTGTTGAAGATGCAAGTAAATTTAGCACACTTTCAAAAGTGAAGCAATCTTGCAAAAGATATTGCCAATGTGACAAAACAATCTTTGCAAAAGTAACTCAGAGCACACTTTGAGATGATCAAGGGCAAGTGATGTGATCATTATTGATGAGAGCTAAATTATTATAATAGAAAAGAAGCGCTAAACTGCAATGATCAGACAAGAGCTAAAATATATTACAAATACTGGTTTAGAGCTCATATTGTATGTAGACAAAAAATAATAAATTTAAGTGTTGAACCTAAAGTCATACAGAAACTTACACCGAGAAGTCTTGCCACCTATAAAATCATCCAAAACACACACAACAGTGTTATGGATGGCATAATTTCACAAGTCTACTTATACATGGAATATTATCTAAATTCATGCTACTGTTGCAAAATGAAACTAAAATTTATACACTATATTTTTATTATTAGTTTCTTTCACTGCTACATTTTCAGAATGCTCAAAGTCCACTGTACAAGATTTTCAGTGTATAACTTTTTTTAAGAGTAATGCATTATATTAAAATTGATAGAACCCTTTCCTTTCATTCATATCTATATACACAATATGCAATTTGCTGTGGAACAAAATATTGCATTGTATTGCTATTAATGGGACTGTTCAACTGGTTTGCCATATGTCTTTTCCCACCATTCAATATACTCTTTCTTGCGCTGCTCTCGTCTAGCAAAGTATTCTGGATACGCTGCCTTTTCCATTGGGTGCCAATAATCCAAGACCCAGTCAGGTGGCTCCACAACTCGCCCATATGCCACACCACCAGGAGAATGAGGAACTGTGAGGATGAAATTAATTTATAATTTATTGTTAAACAACATAATACAGGATATCTGCAGTTGGAGTATGGCTGAGAGCAAAAAAAAACTGACTATGTACAGTAGGGCCCCACTTATATGGCAGGTTAGGTTCCAGGCTACTGCCGTAAAGCAGAAATTGCCGTAAAGTGGAACACCCTTTTTTTTTCACTTATAAATGCATACAAATACTAGATAACAAGTTTACACTAACATATATTAAGTTAGCAATAGAACTAGGCATCAAAAAAACAATAAAAAAGTACAATACACACATAGTGCACTCATTACTTACCTTAAAATATTTATAGTCTTAATCTAGGGTGAGACAAGTAGTATTTATTGTAAGAAATCAAGTGTGGTATGTATGGTAGTCAGCCAGGCTACCATACCAGGTCACATAATATTCTATTACACTTAAGCATCCCAGAGCGATAAAATGCATATACGGTTTACTCATTACTTACCTTAAAATATTTGTTGTCTTAATCTAGGGTGAGACGAGTAGTATTTATTATAAAAAATCAAGTGTGGTATGTTTGGTAGTCAGCCGGGCTACAATACCAGGCCAACCCACCCACCCACACATACTATTCTATGATATTTAAGCATCCCAGAGCAATAAAATGTATATACAGTTCACTCATTACTTACCTTAAAATATTTGTAGTCTTAATGTAGGGTCAGGAGTAAGTAAATGAGATAAAACGAATAAATGAGAGAGAGAAAGAATGAGTGCATGAGGAAGAACTGGCGCAGCGTTATGTAAATAAACCAGGTGAAGGTAAGTTTTGTAAACAACAAAGTGTACACATCTGGTTTCTGTACAAGTTACATTGTATACAAGTGGTCTCTACATTGATACGGTAGAATAAATAAAGAACACTCCCATTCTCATGTAACATCGTTTTGAGAAGAAATGATGCTCTGAGTGAAGGCAATGGAAATAAGTCACTCTGTCTGACTTTTTTGGGTTATCCTAGGTTCTCTACACATATACTGTTATGTATGATAATCTATGTAACTGTATTTGTGTATACCTGAATAAACTTACTTCCATACATACGAAAGGAATAATTTTCTACAGTTACCCCCAGTAACACATTTTCTCTTATGTTAGATTAGAGAAAATGTTATTCTTGCCATCACTTGTACAAGTTATCTGGCTACCACATCTCATATTTATGTTTATTTATTCTATTGTGAGATGTATTTATCATCTTTATATGTTATGCATCGTGTTTATTATATAATTTTGAAAAATATCATAGATGGATTAATGAAAATGTGTATATTAACGTAATATACGACATTTAATGAGACTCGGTGATTATTATCATTACTAATATGACGTCTCGAGATATAAGAGACTTACTGATTTTAACATGTACCTGCACGCCAGCACAGTATGTAAGTTTATTTAGGTACAGGTATACATAAGTATAATTATCAGAGTATATATAAAATATGAAATAACTTTTAAAAACACTTGAAGTTTTGGAGTTTCCAGACAAAATGGAGAGACTTAGTGCTTACAGATCTCACAGAAAATGTAAACAAACCGGGTGGGGCGCGGTGACCGTATTAGAAAGTCAGGTGGGGGGAGCCGTATAGCGAGTTTGGTCATAATTTGAAATGACCGTATTAGTGGAACGCCGTAAAGCGGGGCCCTACTGTATTTGTTTAAAACAACTTTGCTGTGTATTTTCATATGGTTTTTATGGTTGTATTCTCAGTTTCTTTGTCACATTTGATAGAATGAAAGATATATTACAGAAATAGACAATATTTTGATGGATTTTAGGACTGAAAATAGCTTGAAATTGAGCTCAAAGTAGTGAAAACGTTAGTTTTTTGCCGACATTCAAGAGTAAACAAATCACGTCATGCGTCCAACACACATCAATTGGTGGGTCTGATGTGCATTCACAAATGCACTAATATTAATACAGTTATTACAATATTGCATAACAGTAACTATTTTTTGTGTGAATAAAAAATCGAAATGGAATTCATGTGTAAAGCCTGGAAACAACTAATGAACAAAGGAAATGTCATTTTAGTGCCAGGAATGCCTGTTTTGTTTATTCTGGGCCCTATTTTGAAATTGGCACATATTAAAACCTGTGTGAAATTGGCTGAATTACCAATTTCTAATCACTTTATTGGGTAGCTGAAATAGTTGATTGGGTGATTTCTTGTTCTCAATTGATAAAATGGAACACACACTAGCGAAATAGCTAAGAATTTGGTCTAATGGAACAATGTAATTGGCTCAAAATAGGACTCAAAGTAGGCAAAATTACCAATGTGTAAATATCGCTGGCACATCAAAATTCGCAAGAGCTTAATTTCATCAATTTTTTGATAAAATTTCATACTTTTTGTTTTATTACCTTCAGAAAAAGATTCTACCATTTCATATAAAAAAATATTTTTTTTTATTAAATTCTAGGACCCTGTGAGGAATTTTCAGATTGGGGGTCTGGACCCTAAAGGGTTTAAAGTACAAAAATACAAAAAAGCAATGTAATATGCATACAGTGGAGCAGTTTCACAATCCATAATTTGGAAATATTTCAAACAATGTTTGGCCCACCCTGGAGCATCACGCAGTGACACGATAATGGGCTAAGACGAACCAGAATGTTGTGTAAAGTTTCATATCCAAAGTAACAGATTTTAGAAGTACAAACATATGGGTGTAACATAAGGTATCTTTGAATGTTGCCACAATGAAGAGGCTCAAGAAAGTGGAGATGTTACATGTGAGATAAACAAGTGGTGTGAAAATTATGCACAGGCTAAGCAACATATAAATCAGAAGAAAACATGGTGGTAAGAAAGGTTAAGCTAGTGTGGTCATTCAGAAATGTTGAAGCAGGACAGGGGAACCAAAGGGGTGTATAAATCTGCCGATGAAGTAAAGAAGGGGTAGAAGATGTATCACAAAGGGTTGGAGGGAAGGTGAAAAAAAGGTTTTGAAGAGCAGGGGCTTGAGCATCCCACAGGCTGTGTGAGAGCAATGAGCATGTTACACAGGAACAAGCAGAAACAAATGTTTTTTTGGAGAAAGTTGACATTCATGACGGGTCTCGGGAAAAATTGGATAGCTGGATCAAGTTCTGGAGGTGGGAAGCATGGTATCAGCACTATTAAAGATGGGTGGGGATCTTGTGGTTCAGAGGGTTATTTGAATTGTGATGTCCATGCACTTCTGGCAAAAAGCTATGAATAAGAAGTTTCCTTCTCTGAGTTACCATTAATGAAAAATGGCCAAGGTGGTAAAAATAAAAAATTGTACTCAAATTATTTCAGGTTTCATATCTCAATACTTTAAATGTACGTATATCACTATCATTCCTTAATTGCTCCACATGACATGAGGTACAATTTTAACATGTGTCAACCCATCCTCTAATTCTTAATTTTATTACTCATATAGGAATTTCAACATGCCTGTGATATACCCGTGACTGGTATAGTCTCTTTTCTTATGCCTGCAGTCTGGACTGGGACCAGGTTTTTCTGGTGCTTGCCTTTTGGCCAACATATCCATCACAGCACACAAATAACCCACAAATAGGAGAGAGGAGCTTGCGATGACATTTCAATCCGACTTGGACCATTTACTAAGTCACACTAACAAAAGGGAGAGAAGGTGGGAGTATATATAGGCCAGCAGATAGGGACAGGACAAGAGAGGTAGCAGGAAAGGAAGAGAGGTAGTGGTAGAGGTAGTAGTAACAGTAGTGGAGTCAAAGACTAAGAAAGAGGAGCACTGTAAGGGAGCTAGGGACCCACAAAGGGTAGGAACAAGAACACAAAGGGGGATGGGGGGGAATAATGGACCAAATACCCAAAGGAGAGAGGAAAGAGGAAAAGGGAATAAGGAGAAGGGGAAAAAGAATCAGGTTAAGTTTGGAGCATTTTACAATGTAATGGGAAAGAGAATGGCCAGTTTCTCCAAAGTACTGAAGATGCTCCTGGTGTCTACTCTATTCCTTGTTCCTCTTGTCCTCTTCAGTACTTTGGAGAAACTGGCCATTCTGTTTCTGACAGACTCAGGGAACACAAAAGTAGTGTTAGGCTTGCTGACACTAACAGTGCTCTTTTCTGTCATGTCAGAGATCACAGTCATCCTATTGACTGGTCTTCTGCTACAACTGTCTACCCTACTTCTACCTTTCACAGCTGCCGTCTGGTTGAATCCTCCCTTATACACAACTTTCCTTGTATGAATCTTAGTCCTGGCTTTGTCTCTGTAGATGCCTTCCTTTCCCATTACATTGTAAAATGTTCCAAACTTCGGAACACCTGCAACTTAACCTGATTCTTTTTCCCCTTCTCCCTCTTCCCCTTTCCTCTTTCCTTTGGGTTTTTTTTTTTTCTCCGGGGTTTTTGGTCCATTATTTTTTTTTTTCCGTCCCCTGTGTTCTGGTTCCAACCATTTGGGGCCCAGCTCCCCTGCATGCTCCTCTTTCTTAGTCTGACTGACCCACTACATTACTACTACCTCTCTTGCCCATCCCCTGCTGCCTAAATATACCTCACTTTTCCTTTTTGTTAGTGTGCTTTGTGAAGGGTCCAATCGGATCAAAACACCTCGTACGCTCCCTCTCCTAGTGCGGTTTTTTGTATATTGTTCCAGTCATGGATTGGCCTTTGTTATTTATATCCATCACAGCCTTTTGATCGGGGCACTTGAAAGCGATGAGAAAGCATGTGCAACACCCTTTGGGGTACTTTATTTTTGGGAACATTGTGCCTACAAGGGGGCTGTTCATCAAAACGGGGCACGGGTGTAGTAGTAAAAGATGTTTGCTGATCAACCCATTAATATTGGGGGAAAAAGTTTTAAGGTGGCAGTCCCTCAAGACTATTTCCAAGGGTTGAGGACTGATTACATCCCTTTTACTACACACTACACCGCTGCCTCGCATACTGCAAACTACCCACTGCAAAGGAAAAAGTTTAAACA